ATATATAGTATTAAAATTACACTGATGGTAACCACTTTAAGCACCTCTTGTAATTGCAGAAGGCAAATGTGACTTGTATTCATCTTTTGTTATTGGTGTATACTGAGTATTACAATTTTAAGGTTTTTCCTTTCTTAAAATGTGTATGCATTTTTTTGGCACCGCGTGTGTATTTTTTACCTCAGTTCTGCCTTGCAATTGCACTACTGGGAGCCACCTTTTAAGCTGCTGTTAATGACATGTGACTCGAGATTCAGTCCTGATGTTTCCTCTTCTCTCTGGCCCTCAACAGTCCTCTATCAGGCTCTGCTGTGACCTGGCCAGCACTCCTCAACCTAACGGCCTCAACAGCCCTTGAGCTGTGAACTCAGGCCATCCCTGGGAGAAGTGAGCCCACAAACCCCTTTGAAAGACTTCTTCCATCGCTGTACAAACAACACAATGAACAGGTCACAACACTACTTGGTTCAAAAAAAGCCTCCCCCTCCCCCACAACTATAGTGCAGGCTGTCGGGGCTGGAAAGACTTCAGGTTCTAATGAATTATGGAGGTGGAGGGACAGGGCTGGTTCTTAGACACTGAACCGGAAATGTCTGGGGGAGAGATAAAGAATTTGGCAGCAGGGGCAGTAAAATTTTATTTGCTGTTTGGGGAGTAAAGGGGACAGAACAGAGTAACAGCGAGGAGGGGAAGGGACCTCCAGTGTCCCCACCTGACCCACCCTCCCGCTCCCACATCTGCAAGGCAGTGGCTGTGGTAGGGAGTCATTTATTAATATTTAGAGTAAGGGGCCGCCCCCAAATGGGCCTGCTGGAAGAGGACAACAGAAACCAAGGAAAACCAACAGCTTTGCATTTGGTGTGGATTTTCTGCTTTAATATAGGTTTGACTTGGGGGAAGGAGGGAAAGCAGTGGCTTCTACTGTCACTGGGCTGGCACTAGCTCAGGCCCCAAGGGCAGGTCCTCAGGGGAGTGGGGGGACACCAGACCCTTCCCAGGCAGGTCGCACAGCAGGCCCACTGCTCCTGGAAAGGGCAGCTGCTGCCGGCTTCCTCCACAGGGTGGCCGCACCAGCCTGTTTGCTTGGTGTGTTCCTAGCTCTTACCTGACTTAACAGTCAAGGCTGACTAGAGGAGAGGAACCCAAGGTCCCCCAGACCAGTCGGGGAAACCAAGTCAAGCAGAGCGGCTCGTGCTGTCCCAAGGAGCATGTGGCTGGACAGGGCTCCCCCACAGACGTCTGTGCATGGGGAGAGCTGGAGAGACTTCAGTGAGGTTTGTAAGGGGCCTGAACCTGCCCCCTGTGATGGGAAGTAGGGGGTGTGTGGGGGGCAAGGGCAGAGCCTCAGTCTTCTAGAACAGTCTGCTGAGTGACCTCCTCCTCTCTACACAGGCTCAGGCTGCCTCCTTGACTACTTGCCAAAGCCTAAGGCGAGGGAAGTATCTGAGAAGCATCACATTATTGAGGGGCTCTGGCGGTGAGCTGCGGCCCCCACCCCTCCCCCATCTCAGCCTTCTTTCTGTTCAGAAAGCTCATGTTATGAACAAGCAAAAGGAAATCTCTTAACAAAAATCTTTCATCCTCAGCCCACCCCTCCAATTAAAACCAATAAAATTCCCTACTCAACAAATCCACAGGCCAAAATAGTTTAAAATTTAAGATCAGTCTTTGAAAAAAAAAATAGGCCAATAACTTAAGTACATCTCGTAAATTATAAAACCAAATAAATCATCCCACATTCAAGAATATTAGCGTGATTTTAAGACACAGGAAGGATGCAGGCTACCCTTCCCATGTCTGGGCTAGTGGTGCGTGTCATCCATGCGATGTCCCCCTGAGCTTGGCAGGAGACTCAAAGCAGATGATGGCTGGGAATCTCTGCAGGCAATTTCTAGATGTCAGTGGCTCCTGCTTCTCAGAAAGGCTTTCCACCCACCAGGCACTCACCAGGGAGCTCAGTGGGCTGAGAACCGGGGTGGCTCATCGGAGCTGCAAGTGACAGACGCTAAGAGAGGGAGGAAGGTCAAGGACATATTGTATTTAAGGTAGTGGAGACACTTTGAGCGCTTTGTGCCTCCTTTCCCAAATTGCCTCCTAAACAGCAGGTAACCCTTAAATATTAGTTGATCTAGCCAAAGAAATAACATTCATTATAGCCCCCAACAAAATCACTGTCTTAACCTTCCGTCGGGCGCAACTGATCTCATTGATTCATTGCACACAAAGATGCCACTATGAAATACGTCTTTACTGGACTAAGTCACACACACACACGTCTGGCGATAGGTTACAGTAGATGGGGAAGATACGGAAGCAATGAGTCATGATACTTAAGTTAACTGTTAGATATTTGAAATTTTGTGTGCAATGAATCTGTGAGATCAGTTGCACCTAACAGAGGGTTACACTGAATGCAACTAAGGAAATTGGTTAGCAAAATATTTAGGACTAAACTCAGCTAAATCTACAAACTGGAAAAGGCAAGTATCCTGTTTGTTCTTTCCCCCATGGCTCCTTGAATTTCTCCATCCTGTGTGACTGTCAGATTCTTTCAGGCTCTGCTAACTAAAGCTGTATACCCTCAGTTCCCCTATCGCCCTTTCTCTGAGGTGATGTGAGACACTCCAAACCTGTGTGTCAAATCTGAATCAGTAATGCAGGGCAAGGGGTTACGAGTGAGACATGTGTCTAAACATACACATTCATGTATATAAAAACAACAAAATATTTTAATTCTCTTTTTACATGGCCACAGGCTTTCTTCAGTCAGGTGAACCCCAGTGGGCACTTGTCTTTTGCAGCTATGAGGTGATGGCATGGTCATGTGCCTCAGTACAGGTGGCTCCAGTGAGTCAGTACAAGTCACAATTCAAATTCTGCACTAATGGCCCTGGGTACGTGGTGGTGGTGAGAGTTGCTGCCTCTATCAGTGGAAACAACCTCAGCTCAAGATGCAGTTTGTCTCAGCTGTAAAGTCTCAAAACACCAATCCTGTGTCTTACCCCTAGTCTGGATTTTTATAAAATGCTTTATATATACACATATATACATAGCACAATAAATGTGCTTATTATGCACTCTAACATAGAGCACAGGAATACATACACACCAACGAGCATAACCCCAGAGGTCTCCACAGTGGAAAAAGTGCGAAGGTCAAATATATGCACATGGTGTGATGGCAGACAGGTACGGAGCGCCACACCCCACGCCTTTCCACGGACCCGTCCGACACCAAGAACTTGTCTTCTTTGTCTCATGGGTGGCAGGAGCAGTAACAGAAACAATGTCCTTTTCTAAGGGCAGAGGATGTCAAACAATCTGGTACAGAGAGAGTGATTGTTATCCAGAGATTATCTAGAAATAATTGCCGAAGGTCAGCCTGGCTCATGACCCCAGGCTGAGGTCTGCTCTACAGAGGGCGGGGCTGGCTTTGGGGGTTGAGGGCTGATGAGATCTCTCTGACACACACACACTGTCACACTCACTCATCCACCCGCCCCAGGAGAAAGTGCACTTCAACAGCTGATACAAAAATAGATTGGCACGCTCTTTTGACTCAGTGAGGGAATCTTTTAAAAGCTTTCCCCCAACTTCTGCAAATTCTCTTCCCCTCTCCACTCTAGAACTTCACAGTCTGAGTTGGAGCAGGTTTGGAGAGAAGGCCCTGGACCACGCTTGCAAGGTTTGTGTGTGCCCAGCAGGAAGACTGGGGAGGAGACAGCTAATCACTCTTGCTAGTGGAGAGCTGGAAGGGCGTCTGCTGTCTTCTGTACAGGTCTCTCCTTCCCTCACTGATAGTAAACAGCTCACACCTCATCGCAGCTAGCCAGACTGAAGATTCCCTGAAAAGTTTCCAGTACTGCTTCTACACAAAAACATGTTGAGAGGAAAAAAATTTCGTATGTTGAGTTCTATTTTTGCATTTCCAGTAGTAAGCGCTGCTCCACCGGGTTCAGAAGAAATGGTCCCTGGCCCTCCAAGGGGGCCTGTGCTAGGAGCTCTGGATCAGACGTCTGTAATGGGGCATGACTTCGTGCTCTGGCAAATGAAGGGCAAATTCCAAGGCCACTAACACTGGGAATTCAAAGGCAATCAGTTCTCGTCTATTCAGCCGGAACTTCTCTTCCAGTTTCTGTGACAGAATGAAAGAAAACAAAAAGCATTTTAGCTTCGAAATCAACATCCTAGGCTTTCTCCACGTGTAAGCTCTCTATCCATCAGCCAGTGAGTGTTTACAGAGAAACCTATTATGAGCAAAACCGTGGGGGAAGAAAGGGAGGCATCCGCTGTGCTTCCTGCTCTCGGTCCTGGTGGAGAAGGAATCGAACCTTCCTGAGGACCCACGGTTTGCAGAAGCCTCTCATACATCACATGACTTCCTTTAATCTCTCAATAATCTTACAAGGCTGATGTTACATTTATCTCCATTTACAGATGAGAAAAAAGGCTCACGTGTTTAAGTAATTTGTCCACAATGGGCAGTAAATGGCAACACTGAGATTCAAACTTAACTGGGATTCAAACTCTACTGCTACAACTAGGTTATTCAGGTTTCGAGGTAAGCCTGAAAATAGAGCAAATCGTTGGCAACAGTAATAATCTCATGGAAAGTTCAGAATTGGGTGAGCTGATTATAGTAGCTTGGTCTTTTTATTTTATGCACGAGGAACCTGGTGAGGTTGCCTCCCTTTTAGAACATCACACAACTCATGTGCAGCTGAATAGGCTGAGCGCCCAGCATTTGGCTCTGAGCCCAGGGGCTCCCCTCCTGCACTGCCTCCCAGTCCTCCCAGTTGTACAGGCTGCTGGGGTCGAAATGAAGGAGGAACGAACAATCAGGGTGAGGGTAGGTAGTGAAGGTCTCAGTTCTGCTACAGTACATTCTGCTTTGGCTTAAACTCAACTGTTGGCTTGATAATCATCATCATCATCATCATCATCATCATCATCATAATAATAATAATAATAATAATAATAAAATCTCACCAACAGAGTAGTTGGTCACTGCATTCAGTTTATAACTGGGATGGGATCTTGTGTTAGGTTAATTGCTACTGCAAATGGCTTGTCAAACCATTACCATTATATTCTGCATTAATACTAACAGCTTTTGCTGGGTGGTATTTTACTCCACTATGATTAAGTATGCATAACATCACTAATAATTTTATTAATATCTGTTACTTCTAAAGATTCGTTAGATCGGCAAATGTCTATGTAAACCTATTGAATTTGGTATCACCTCCAAGTTAGGTGATTTTGTACCATTGCTTATAATCAGTAAAGCACTGACCTAAAGAATGCTTTCTTCCATTGGTGGATGAATGGATAAACAAAATGTGGTGTATACATACAGGAAAATATTATTCAGCCTTAAAAAGGAAGGAAATTCTGATAATGCTACAACATGGATGAACCATGATGACATTATGCTAAGTGAAACAAGGCAGATACAAAAAGGCAAATGCTGATGAGATGAGTCCACATATATGAGGCACCTGGAATAGTCGGAATCACAGAGACAGAACATAGCGCGGAGGTTGCCAGGGGCTGGGAGGAGGCGGACGGGGGATTGTTGTTTAATGGGTACAGAGTACCAGTTTTGCAAGGTGAAAGAGTGCTAGAGATGGGTGGTAGGGGTTGCCAAACAATATGAATGTACTTAATACCACTAAACTGTATACTTAAAAATAATTAAAATGGTAAATTAAAAAGACTACTTTTTTATGTGGAGAGTACCTACATTAGTTCCCTTTCTGCTTTTTCTCCTTTACCACTGAAGACAGCTGCACAGCTAGACATATGGGGCTTTGTATTAATATTAACCATGTCTTTCATATCCCTGTGGCAATATTGTAGTTACCTACTTATGCTGTCTAATCCCTTCCCCTTCTCCCTCATCCCCACCCTCCTCCCAACTAGCAACCATCAGTTTTTCCTCTGTGTCTCTGAGACTATTTCTGTTTACTTTGCTTGTTCATTCAGTTTTTTTAGATTCCACATATAAGTGAGATCATATGGTATTTGTCTTTCTCCAACTGACTTATTTCACTTTACATAATAGTCTCTTGGTCCATCCATATTGTCCCAAATGGTACGATTTCCTTCTTCTTTATAGCTGAGTAATACTTCATTGTATAAATGTACCACAGTTTCTTAATCCAGTCATGTACCGATGGGCATTTCAGTTGTTTCCAAGTCTTGGCTATTGTAAATAGCACTACAATAAACATAGGGGTTCATATATTTTTTTCAAATTAACTGATGTTGTATAATATTGTATGTCAACTATAATTGAATATATATATAGTCACAGAATGTGAAATATAGTGTGGGAGTGGAGTCAAGGGAATGGTAACAGATATGTGTGATATGGGGGGGTGGGAGTGGGGGGGTGAATTGGGGGAGGGGGGTTGTCACTTTGAGGGGTAAAAAGTATAACTATTGCAC